AGGGAGAGAGGGAGGAGGGAGGAAGGGAGAGAGGGAGGAGGGAGGAAGGGAGAGAGGGAAGAGGGAGGAAGGGAGAGAGGGAGGAGGGAGGAAGTACAGGGAGGAAGGAAGGGAGGAAGGGAGAGGGAGGCGGGAAGAAGGAAGAGAGGGAGGAGGGAGGAAGGCGAGGGAGGGAGGAAGGGAGAGGGAGGAGGGAAGAAGGGAGAGAGGGAGGAGGGAGGAAGTAGAGGGAGGAAGGAAGGGAGGAAGGGAGAGGGAGGCAGGAAGAAGGGAGAAAGCAAGGAGGGAGGAAGGGAAAGAGGGAGGAGGGAGGAAGGGAGGGAGGAAGGAAGGAAGGAAGGCCTGGTCCAGCCCCATGAGATCAGGACAAGTCAAATGGCCCCCCAGCCCCCCCACTTCTCAGGATCCCTCTCTTCTGAAATTGACACAGGTGGGCTGTGGGGCCAGGGGCTCCTAGTCCAACTGTTGCCCGGGCCCCAGCCCTTGCAGCTGCTTCCCAGCACAGCTGTCCCACCACCTGTCCGGCTGCCCTAGCCCACCGCTGGGAACAAAGGGCTCTCAGAGAAGCAGGGTCTGCCTCTCTCCATTCCACAGATGAGATGAGACACTGAGGCAGAACTCAGAGACCCTGGTTCCCAGACACTGCTCTAGACATCCCATCTCCCTGAGCCGAACTGTCAGCCTCTCTGTGGGCCTGGCTCCTCCCAGGAACACCTGCCCTGCCCTTCCATCCTAAACCCTTGCCTCCTCACCTCCAGTTACCTTTCCCTGCTGCGGCCACAGCCCTTACCTGGTGGAAACCATAGCGAAGTTCAAATCCTTCAACAGGCCTTCAACCCTGAGCTCTGCCCCACCTGCCTTTCCAGCCAGATGTCCGTATCCACACCACATACTTCAGTCACACTGGATGGCTCCCTGATCCCGAACACAGTTCTGGATATTTCCCACCCTCAAGCCTTTGCATATGCAGGAAGGCCAGACCTGCTTCTCCACCCCATGCCCACCCCTGGCTGAAATCCCTCAGGAACCCAATACCAGCTCCCCAGGAAGCCCTGTCCTGAGCGGCCCCTTCCCCAGAGCACTTACCACACCCCAGCAGGGACAGGAAGGGACATCTGAGCCCACCCCAGATCCCACTAGACCCATGTTTCTCAGAAAACACATCAGAGACAGCCTGGGCCTGGAAGGGTGGGAGCTGTGAAACCCCAAGGAATCAGGATGGGGACCCTGGAATCTATGTCTCACTAGCTCCACTCCTGGAGACAGACGCTTCCGACTGGAAGCTTCGTGAAGGCAGGATGACTAACCCCATCAATCAACATATCACTCTCTGGGTCCCGGGGCCAGCCCAGAGCAGCAGCAGTAGGTGTTTGTGATACTGACACAGACTCCGAGAAACCATCCTAGGCCAGAGAAACTGGACTGGGGTGGGGGGAGCCAAAATGTAGCAGGAAGATCCTTGGGTCAGCTGACGGGGGGTGCTGAGAGCAGGCAGACCCCTCAGGACAATCACACTCAGAACGTTAGGGCTGGAAGGGCCCCGGCTGTCCCAGAGACGGCTGAGCCAACCCCCTCCTCCTGTTTTCAAGAAGACCAGAGAGCAGCCGAACTTGTGTGTGGTCACACAGTGAGTCGTATCATGTCCAGGGCGACACGGGCTCTTCCCACTATAAAACCTGACTTCCTGGGTCCCCCGCCCCCAGCGCCAGGGCAGTGGTCCATTTCAGAGTGAGCTCCCTCCCACACCCCCACTCAGAGGCAACGTCAGGGAGGGCAGTGCCAAGCCTCCTCTGTCCAGACAGCAATATTACCCAAGACGCCCTCTTCCAGCCTCTGAATGTAGAGTCTGCCCCTGAGTCTTGAGACCCCCTGCACTGCTGGCTCTGTGCTGGGTGCTGGGGGCACTCAAGCCCCCTCTGCAGGATGTGATCCTCACACCCTTTTCACGAAATGCTATCTGGGCCCTTGGGAGTGAGCAAATGTGTGTATGTGTGAGGGTGCGTGTGTGCATCTGTGTGTGTGTCCCACACACAACCCACATGGGGGTTGACGCACACTACTGATGAATAACTCGCTTTGGCCACATGGATGCTGCTGGGTGGTGGGAGCCCAGGCCTCTGCTGAGCAGAATGTGGGCCAGCAGTGGCTGTACGACCCTGGGGGGGAAATGGGGCGGTGATGGACAGTGCCCACCATACTGGAGGGCGAGGGGGGTATTCTGAGGTGGGCTGTGCCTCTCTCCAGGCAGGGCCCATATCCCAAGGCCAGCTCCTCCATGAGGTCAAGATGGCTACCTGCCCTGAACTCCTCCCATGATCTCAGCCCCCCAGGGGCAGGGCTGGGACAATGGGTGGGCCGCCTGCCCACTTAGCCTCTGCTGACCTCTCTCATGACTGACCTGCAAGACATGAGAGCTCGTCTCTGGCGTCCATCCCTCCAGGCCTGGCTGCCCGCCAGTGCTGCAGTACTGTGGCATGGACGCCTAGCCATCTTGTCCCCTCCTCCAGCCCCCAGGTCAGTATCCCTACTTGACTGCCATCCCAGCATGAGGGTGAGGCCAGCCCAAAGGACGTCCCTCAGACCTGCCCTCACTCTGTGCCTCAGTTTCCTGCCTGCCAGAAGGAGAGGGGGCCTAGGGAACAGAATGGACACCTGCCCCAGGGCAAGAGTGTTTAGGGGAAGATGATTCCTGAATGGAGCAATGTGGAACCCCTTGGCTCTCCTGCCACCCTGGGGACTCCGGCTCCAGAGCAGGCAGTCCATCCCCTCCCACAGCTCAAGGGGAGACAACAGCTGGAGAGCGGCAAGAGGGCAGCCTAGCTCCTCCCTCACCAGAGAGCCACGAGCCCCTTGACACTGGGTGATGGAGCTAGGGACTCAGTGGATCCACTCACCCCCTCATCCCTCTCTGGGGGCTCCCTCCACATTTCTGTGCCTGACGGCTTCCTCTCAGGGACTCCAGTGGGCCGGCGAGGTAGGCAGTTGGGTCCCCTTGGCATCACCCAGCCCGGCTGATCCGTCCCTGCACTCCCCTTCAGATCGTCCCTGCACTCCCCTTCAGATCAGGGAGAGGAGGACTCATCCCTGCCTCCCCCGCGACCCCTGAGGGGAACAGGAGTCACTTGGCGGTTGCCATGTGGCAGTGAACATCTTTCCATCACACCCCAACTCGGAGAGGCCCCCCCGGTGGGCGGGGCGCCCCGGCCCCCAGCCCGCCCCGCTCCTCCCCCGCCCTGGCTTTCCTTTGTGCTGCGGCCGGGCCGGGCTGGGCCAGGCAGGCTGCGCTGGCTCCGCTGGCTCGGTCCCCGCCCCATCCCCGCCCGGTCCTCGCCCGCTCGAAGGTGGCGAAGGTGCCCTTGGCCGTCCCGTGCACACCTGTCCCCCGGGCCAGGGGCGGGGGCAGGGGGCGGGGAAGGGGCTCCCGCAGGGCCACGCAGCCCCGGGCCACACATCTGGACCCTGCGTCTCTCCGGCCCGCATCCCGCCACGGCTCCGCCGCGCGACTGGGGCCGCCTCCGGGCGCTCGGGGCCCGGCACTGTCCCGCCCGGCCGGCCCCTCCCCCGGCGCGCACAAAGGCAGCCCCTCCCCGGCCCTCCGGGGCCGCTGCACCATTTCGGGGTCTCCCCTCCCTCCCGGCTACGGGGCGGCGGGCCGCGCGGAAACAAAGGCGCGGCGGCGGCGGCGGCGCGGGGACAAAGGGCCGGGGGGCGGGGGCGGGGGGCTCACCAGTCGGCCGCGCTCTCCTCCCGAATCACCTCCTCGTACGCCGCCAGCAGCTCCAGGCGGTGGCCGCTGAAGCTGACGCCGGCCATGCTGCGGGCCGGACCGAGGCCGCACGGACAGAGGCGCGGGTGGACGGACGGACAGAGGAGGAGGGAGGAAAAGAGGGAGTCGCCGCCGCCGCCGCCGCCACCGCCTCGGAGCCTCTGCAGCGCCGCAAGCCGAGTGAGCCAGCGGGCGGGGGAAGGGGAG